TTGATTACTTATGTTCAATTTTAGAGAATGACTGCCTTTACATACTGTTGGAAATATCGCTCAATGAAATGGGCGCAATAGTTATGGAACGAAAGTAGAAAATGAAAAAAAGTGTGTCATGTTCGGATTATAGCTAAAAGTGTGGATCCGGAAAAGACTTACAGGGTTATGGAAAGTCGCACAATAACATTACATAATCATAATGATAGATCACTTCAGCATCGAGGGGTGAGGAGGGATTGATGTATATAGGCGTAGAGATATCCTACACTTAGAGGACAGAATTGACGTATTAGTCTCAAGCTCTACACAAGATCCGTTGTAGTTAGTAGCCACGAGACACCAAGTGATATCAACCCAATCTTACACCCACACCCATTGTATACTAAGTATACAACGCGCGCTCGGAACCTCACAAGTACAAGTGTAAGCGACACGTAGCCTAAGCCACAGCATAAACGAGTGTGGCGCCATCTAGGCATAGAAAACCCCCAATAACCTCCTTAAGCCCATTCCATACAGTCAATCATATCTCCAATAGGTAGCCTGAAACGCTACCATAATACCTATTCCAACATGTTAAATACACACGAGATCGTGTCGGGAACCTAGACGAAATGGAGGGCCCGTGCGTCCACAACACTCTGTGTCTCCATTTCCAACATATACATGTACTACATTCTATAGTTTTCCATACCCACAGTCGCTCAATTACATTCAACTTTGAGTCATCCTATTCTATTCCATCCTGTGCTTGTCTATCTGAATCTAGTCTGTTCCGACTTGACCATTCGATTGTGCGCCTCTGCGATCTAAACTAACCAGATGCAGGGATAAATATGTCATCAATCACAACAGAATTGCCACCAAAATTGTAGAAGATTAAATCAGAAAAACAAGACAGTCCGAAAAATTAGAAGATTCCATCGATATGGATCCAAGCAATACGCTCCCCGCACACCTCATTCTCTGTCATACCTTGCAAATAAAAAAATTGCTAAATTTCCGCTGAGAGCTGAAGATTTGTCAACGAGTTCCCTCTACAATTATAGGCCTCTTTTAAAACGAATATAAGCCATCACTGAATTATTCTGGGCGTTTATCGCGCCTATTTATCTGGACCCAAGGCCGCGAGGCCTAGTCCCCCCTGATAGCATCGCATCTTTTGAGGGAAGTTAACTTATTTCTTTGGTCTTCCTCAGAGCTGCCTTCGCTCGGGCCACAGCAGTAGACTCTCGTTGGCTGGTTTTTCGGGTCGTGGTGAGTTTTTCCCTCGTCACTGGGGCAGCTCAAGTAGGTCGAGTCGTACAATCTCAACTATCCGCACGATGAAGGCCACCACAGTTGTGACAATTATTGGCGGCTTTGCATTCCGCAGTTCCAGCATGCTGGAGCGTGATGGCTGAGGCAGCTTCGACACTACTAAATTTGACGACGAGGCTTGATGTTTATGGCCATACCAGACTTGTCAAAAAGACGGAAAACCGTACGAGGAGCGTCCTACCAATAAAAATTGGCATGCCACTTGTGGTAGGGCGCGCCTGGAAGGCACGTCCCACGAGACCGCACTTGGATGGGGAACTCCTGGGTCGCCCGAGAGACCTCATGGCTGACTCAATTGGTGCCAATATTGAAGTTACCGTGCAATGTATTAGCCTTCACCGGTACATTGTCATTCTTGAAATTGCCCAGTTTCGAAGATTGTTTGTGTTTGGAACTGATACTTGCCAAATCCGTGGAGGCTTCATAGGGGCATTTTCCAATCTCGTCGTTCTTTGCCAGTATGGTAAAGCGTTGGAAAATATACTCTATACAATATTATATAGATAAATGATGATGAAGTAAAATAGACTTGATATTTTACTATTATGGGAACATAGAACTTCCATATACCTCAATTGGAGAAATCCCGACTAGTCTTATGTGTCTGTCTAACTTAGTTATGGCTGGCCAACCATCGTCTACCATGATGAGTCAAGGTACACCGCAGTACGTAAATATCCAAACGTATATGCAACAGTAGGTGTGAATAACGCACTCGGGACAGTTGTAGAGAGAGTCGATCTTGTCGGAAACCCGAGGCGAAAAAGATAACCAGTGGGTTCTAGATTCAAGAATTGGAATTTCCAACACAAATTCCGACTTGGTTTGATAAATCTAGCCGACATCAAATAGGTCACATTTCAGCTGCTTCATGAGCGGGGATTGGATGCCCGTTGGTGAAAATTGGTGCCATTTGTGGTCGCTGTCGGGACGTAGAGATAATCGTTTATCGAATATTGGACTAGAGGCTTCTTTCCTTGGTTATAGAGGCACAGGTTTTGTTGTAGCTCGGATGGTAGAGACTGTATTTTATCGCAGTCTGTTTCGAGTTACCGTAGCTCAGGTGCTTATGATGGGCCGGTTTGGGACGGCCAGTGTGATTGTGCTTTTGGCATTGGGAGCACTCATTGGAGAATCCGGCGGGTGCTGTCGTGGTTCATATAATGACTCTCCATGAAAGTATGAAAGCATGCCTAAGCAGCAGTGGGGCGTCTAGTTGTCATAGTAACACAATTGTACAGGAATGGAGAGGACTGGTGTTATTATTGACATTAGCGCCAAGCTAGTCCGAGGAGATCATTAAGTAGTCCTCGTTCACGTCTTTAGAGGGCTTGCGACGATTTGTTAGATTTCCATATCATGTCCGCATCCTATCTTGTCTACGTTCCATCTTACGCATGTTGTTTATATCTTGTCCCCTGACTTCTATCTCGTATACTTTCTCGCCCCGTAACAGGTGCTATGTATCATTCTATGGTGGTACGTCATTCTTCATCCCGGAAAATTGGTCGAAGCTCGGGCGGGAAATCTGCTTCTGTCAAAGGTCTATCGTTTCTGATGATAAGATACGCAATGGGTGGTTGCAGTCTAGCCTGCGATGCGCTCCGCAGATTTGGTTCGGGGTACTTCACGAATAACGTGTGCCGGCTGGTTGCCATTTCTCGCCTTAGAGCTGTGGTTGGCGCGATGCACAAGTCGGTAGCTTTGCACTGCTTTTCCCTGAAGTTTCGGATGATACCTCTGAACGCTTCCCCGGTAAGTCCTGGCCACCAAGTCTCAGCCGCGTGCATTATGCTCGGGAGGGCGGTTGTGCGAATTACTGCGCTTAGTAAGAGAGCAAAATTATGGGCACCAACGAAACTTCCAGGATGGTGTGTGATGTCGTCATTAGAACAGGGCTCACAGGGGTTAACGTGAAGATGCTAATTTCTGCACGTGGCAGTTCCTGGCTCTGGCGAACAGTGGGATTCCCCTACATGGCTGGCTGTTATGCATGTACTACTTTGATCAGAGACACTCTAGCACATTGGGCTCCCCACTGAAACAGGCCACAGCTTGTCCAATTCTCCTTGTCTCTATGCTGTGTTTAACGACCGAAATCATCAAGTATAATGGTGAGAGTTTCTTGTGAATGATGGGCCAAGAAGGTCATAAGTGTTCATTCTAAGTAGGGGACTCTATGAGTTTTCTGTGGAGCACTGTTACTTAAGGTGGTGGCTTGTAGTGGAGGAAATGCCAGGCCATGTCTGGTGCATTTTAAAATTGGAACCCATTTTGGGATAACGCCGCGGGACCCTTTGGAGGGGAGTAATGACCAATTGTAGGCCGCAGAGAATGTTAGGGGGGTAAGTAGGGAATGGAGTGCGAAGTGGCGAAGATTATTACACTTTGTCGCCGAGCCGAGAGGAGATGGATCTGTGAATGTGGTACCACAACCGTTGCAAAAAATCTATTTTTCGCCAAACATTCAGCGAGTGAGGCGGGGTAACAGAGAAGCTAGATGTGGACACGAGCAGTAGCCCATTTCATCTTTCAGTCCCTATCTAGAGTCGTTTAGGGCGAGCCGGAGAAAATCAAGCTCAATATCTAAAGCTAAATATAGACCATAATGTCGGGGAGCTTCCTTGTATGTTTATCGATTTATGAGCTGGACCCCTATCGGGACAGGCTTCGCACACGAGACTCTCAGAATAAGGGCATGCTCAAATGCACTAGACCCGTCATGCATAAGGCAAAAGCTCGCCGCTGACTTTACGTCAGCCCTATGAGAATTTATCGCCCATTTAGCCGCATGAGGCAAGCCGGAAAAGGCGACCCTTCCTCACACCTATCTATCGGCGCTTTCCGGCTTGATTACTCCATTTGAGTCCAATACAGACCTTGTTCGCCTCCTCAGCGACTTCCAAATGCCTGTCGTGCCGTTGCTCAACCCTTGAATGTGCATCTTAGAGGCACAGCTTACCGTGAATTACTAAATACCCCTCACTGACACCCTCTTCACGGGAGTAAGTAACTGAGCATGTCGGCTTCATGAATTATTGTCATTATTCCCACCACTGCTTCCCGAAGACATAGCCCCTGTCAGCCATTACCCACTGAGACGCTTGATCCATCATAGCTACAAGCGTAACGTGACACTAATAGCGCTTCTTCTCTGAGTCACTCAAATCGCTCTGAGACACCTGTAAGTGTGGTAACTACTAGCGGAGAGTCGACGCGAGCGCTGAAGCCATTGTGGATTTGGTTGATGATCGTGATCGAAATCAAGATCGTGATCTTGATAATATATCCGCTCTTGTTAGCTCCACCTCGAAAGCGCAAATCCCTGTATTCCCCATGCCAAATGAGCTTCCTAGATCTCAACTGACCCACTTTCTCAACATCAGCCAATCAACCGCTTTGGCCCTACCACCCCATAGAAATTATGCTTAACTCGGCTATGTGGAACAAGTTAGCCGTTGGTTCGTTTGCGGCCGACTAGTCAGGTAATAAACATGTCGCGGGACGGGTGCTTATAAACCACATAAAGGCCACATCGTGAGCTCATCTTCCCGCACTTCTCTCATTCTTCATACATTTTTGCATTCGTTCTCTCTTTCTATCTCTAATTAATTTCACTTCTCTACGCCTTCTTTACCCTCACCCCTGCGCCTTTCTTCTTTCCTCTTTCCTCAGACATGGCCAGCATGATGGATCTTGGGTTTGGCGAGTATCCCATTGTACTCAGTGATGCCTTACTTGGAAGAGCGACGAGTGAGTTGTACACTGGTATCAACTGTAATCTATTCTTCCTTTCTTCAATGTTCACGGTGCGCTGACTAGATTTCAGATAGTCAAAATACTGCGACAGACTCTTACTCATCAAAACCTCGCCGACTAGCGCCATCGGGAGAAAAAGCGAACAACTTCAGCCTATCTTTCCCCGGCGCTTCGGACAATCTCTCTTATCAAGGAGAGAGAAGCCCGGCTCAGGATCAATATATCCTGATTTTCGATGCAGACAAGGAACAATTTGTACTACACCGAGTAGATTCCAACTTTGATATGAGGAGAGTCAACTCTTCCAAATCAAAAAATGTAACTGGTTCTCGTCCGCAAAACAGTCAATACGAGTCGAGTACCAAGCACCAACCTACTGCTCCACCGAAGAAGATCTTGAAGAAGGCCCCGGCTACTATTGCACAGCCTCCCCAGCGGAAAGCCGAAAAACCAAAAAAATCAACAGAGCCAGATAACTTACCCGAGGCAGATGAAGCAGAGGAAGACTCTGATGATGGGCTTACTATTGAGTTTCCTGGTGCTCAAAGCCCTGGATATAGGCAGCGTAAATCCTCACCATTGTATCAACGTCAACTTAGTGAAGAAGTTAGTGATGATGAGGGTGATGTGTCTCCAGAAAGATACGAAGAGCCAGAACAAATCGCCGAAGACTCCAGGCATGTTAGTCCTGTTCCAAATACTTCTATCGAAATGAGCGACGAAGATATGGAGCTAGCATTAGAGGCTGAACTGGAACAGGAGCTCCTAAAAGAGTCGGCTGAAAATATGGCTGAAGAGAGTGACGAGAGTGAAGAGGAGTAGTCAAATTTGATATTTTTAATGCAGTCGATTTGAAGGTTATGAGTCAGTCCCGATCAGGTATCGAGTTTCGAAAAAGATATTCACACTTCAGCACTCGGGTTATCAATTCTTTGAACAAAGTTAGAGGGTGCGGTTAATTTTGAACATCTTATGCTGGAAATTGTGTTTGGGATTCGGGGAGTAGCTGTCTAATTTGTTAAAAAAGTTTTGCTCATGATCACAATTTTGGTTGATAGGGAAAGGCTTGACTGAACTCAAGTAAAATGACAACGGAAAAAGATGGTGGCAAGGGGTTTTCTTTGTTTCTTATTAATACGAGCCTTTGGACCAAGGCTCGGCCCACTAATCAGTATTGTTTATAATGCTTTAATTTTAAGAGTTCTTCTCTGTCATAATTCTACGAATCTACCGAGTAACATTTCAACGTGACGACATGGAATATACAGAATACTCGAGATTAATACTACGGCATTAGGGGAGTTAAGGCAATAATACCAAATAAACGTGTGCCCTCCCAACGCGACTCGAATTCTACGGTGAATGCTTTGAATCGAATAAAAGTTTATTCGTGATGAGCATAAGCCCAGCACTCAGAGAGTATGACATGGAGAAGGCTAGTCCTTCCTCGGCGACCGCATACGACAATAACTCAGTCTTACATTTGGGCTACTCATGTAGTGGGTGCATTTGCTGATGCCACTCGAGACCTTGGTGCTAAGGACTTCCACCCTTCCCTCAACTGTTAATATCCACCAGGGGGAAAACAGAAAAACCTCTGGCTACCCTAACATGCCTTTGTCATCTTGTATATAGCCGCCGCGCGAGATATGGCCTCACACTCCTCCCTATCTCGAGTGAGGTAGGTATCCAAGCTACCCAGACTTTAATTCGGGGAGATGACGACCAGGAAGCGGGCCAAAACACCTTCCATTGTAGCCTGTTTTTAGAGTGTCGGTTGCACTATCCGGAATCGTTGCCTCTGCACCCATAGACACTTTTAATTTGAAAATACTCGAAAAATGTGCGTCCCAACATGCCCATTTGTAACCTCTTCACTCGTTCGTCCCACGTCCCAGCTACCTGTCCTCCATCAGGATGTGAAGCCCCTTTAGACCAAGACCCGAGCTTTGTAGATTACGACTTAGTTTTCTCCTCGCGGGTATACATAGCATCGTAATGTGTGGTGGGAGATGGCCGGTTTTTTATGAGGTAAATGCCCGATTGCAATTGGAGTAACGCCATTATCGGTATTTGAGGCGAGGTGGTGTAGTAAGATTGAGGTGGAGGACTTGCGTGAGAATGATACGTCCGACATGGTCGAGAAGTTACCGGTTTTGGATATGCTTGAGGTTGCTTTCAACTTTGATGCGGATGCGACTCTTCATGGCTATCGCAGATAAGCAGAGTATACTAAGCGATTACACCGGCACCACTGGAAGGTGAAGAATTCGTCTTTGCCGGCTACGGTGAGTGTTAGATGGTCGTGATCTTCATCCGTCCACATAGCAATGATGCCTCATTAACCCTGTAGTACTTCTCATGCGAGGCTCGCAGAGGATGGTAGGCGGTGATTCAAAGTACCTAGCATGGACTCAGCCCGCGAACCACGACAAACTACATCTGAGACGCGTGGTGCCTAACCATAGTCTGAATGCAAATCTATAATCAGCCTACATTCCCGTTTTTCAACAAAGGGCTTGACCGTCAATAGCTATGAAAAGAAATACTGGCATATTTCAAATTTAAAATTTAGTAAATGTACTTAGTGCCGGTAAAAGGAACAATATTGGGCAATGGAGATTGTTCTCTGTTATTGCGGTATTCTGGTTGTCGTTAGGACACTGACAGGGATCTGACTTAGCTCATTAGCGAGGGGCTTGGAGAAGAGGCTATTTGTATTTCGAGATACCAGTCAACAGACTTTATTCATCGACTTCGTGACGACACCCCATTTGTATTACTTCGTGTTTTGCCAACAATTAGAGTCTTCAGTTGGATTCGCGAAGTTCTCCATGGTCTTAGACTCAGTAGGGACTATAATATAAATCTAATCAAGTTCTTCCTCGTCATGTTGATGGCGGGCGTAATAGAAGCGCAATAAATGGAACAGCGGAAGAGGGTGTTGCTGGTACAATACGGTATATGCGCTCAAACGAAATAGCATTAGAACAAGTTCAAAATAGCTATATACTAACACGAGTGTATAATTACATTCTTAATACTATCGGTTCTAACTCTTTCAGTGGCTCGTGCACGTATGCGAGGTGAGTATTACATAAGCTGGACTTCCGTTGTAATAAGCTAATACATAATCCACTCATTACTATCAGGGTGCATTGGACTACTATTCCGATAGATGTACTTAAATGCTTTGTCGACAACCGGCTATGAAATGTAGAGGCGTAATGCGGTGTGCAACTGCTGCTCACAACATTTAGCCAGGGGGTGGGTATGTCTCTTTTGCCAGGATGCAGTATCAGCTTCGAGCCGGAGCCTTGACCTGCATCTCATCCTCCCGATCTCGTCTCCTTAGCCTGATTTTTCGAGGATGGCTCAAAAGCAGCTGAAATGTGCTGTTAGATAGATCTGCAGGAATCAGAGACCATCTACCATGTATCCACGTTATCCTGGGGACTGTGGATAAAAGGATTTTGCAGCGGGAGGAGCCGATTCCGACACATCAGAGGTGGAGTTAGAAGCTAGCGCTCCGGTGCTTGGGCCGATTGGCTAATGTTGTCATCGGGTCTAGGATACAAGGGGGAAGTTAGACAAGGCTGAATTTGGCGAAGATGGCGCGACTCGATTCTGTGCAACATAGCCTTAGCGGCAAAGGGTGATGCTGGCCGTTGTCCTCCACATTCCTTTTTATTTTTTTTTATTTTTATATCATTTAAGTTTATTCAGCCATCTAGCTATGACACATGACCGGTGCTATATTTACATGTAGGATCACTCTTTTGACGCTAGAGACACTCAAGCTCTGGATTTCATTCGCAAATACCACTATGAGGTATGCTTGCTTATACAAACAGTCGATCCTCCTCCATTAGTACCCACCAAAGGGACGTTTCAAAACCTTTGGTTATCCAAGCATGCCTTCGTCTTCCATGTATACCAGCGCCGCGAGAAATATGGTTGTGTTTGCCGGATCTGAACCAGCGATCTACTGTCTCAAGTGGGATATGTGTCCAAGCTATCCAGACTCTACTTGGCAGACCGGACAAGACGATTACCACCGCTCCATCCAACCATGGCTGTGTTTATAGTGTAAGCTGCACTCTCGCAAGCGAAGTCTTGGCGCGCAAAAAGCTCAATTCGTAAAACTCTTCCCAAAATTCGGAATCTCACTCCCTTCGAGGTAATATCCTTCCTCCGTATCATTTTGTAAACTTGTTCTGATCCCCCTCACGTCCATCCCAAAGAACTGTTTCCCATATTTATGCACTACGCTTTGCTTTTTCCTTCGGATGTAGATATCGGCGTGGGCGTGTATCTGGCGACCGGCTGAGGCCAGAGAAAGTCGACAAGAGGTGTGATCATTGGAATTAGGATGTACTGGGTCGTACTTGTAGACTTGATGAGGCTTAGGTAGGAATCGATTTCGTTAGGAGTGAAAGATTGAGATGGTGGAGTATTTTGAATCATTGCCTCGTGGGTCAACTTGTTCGGTATTGCGAATTTGACTGAACTTGGCACTGGGAGAATATCTCACTCCCAGGTTCGAAGAGGACACCGCGTACAGGTATTCAGTCTTGCCCTCCCCCCCATATTCCGATACGCAGCAGAGGGCACAAGGACATGTAGGCGCCTTGCCTGGAGGAACGAGTAGCAGCAGCGTCGTGTTGAACGGGGAGATTTCATGACTTGCGCAGAGATCTGATGAGAATCGGGGCGTAGTGAGTCATATCGTGCACAACTGCTGTCTCAATCGTAGATTGGATCAACAAACTTTTTTTACCAGTTACTTAGCTATGGAGGTCCCATGTCACATCGCATCACATTATCAGGATTGTGTACTGTTAGCAAGGCCGAAGACCCAACGAGGTCGGTCCCCTGATTGACAGCGGGGCTCACGGGAGAAAACCCAAGTCATAGCGTCGCTGCATGCACCTAGTTATATCAGCACTACTGATCGCCATAGCACGAGTACTTGCGACTCAGGCCGAGCCAGCTGGCACATCATGAGCATAAGGACCAATACTACCACCCAACCATCTCGGCCCTTTTACAACGTTACGCGTGAAGAAACGTACGATATTAGCTCTTCGCTGCACTCAGATAAAGGTACACCGCTTCCTGTCCTCAACGTACGCCTGGTTTTACAGTCGGCTGAAATCTGAAATACGCCCTATCCAATGATGTCAAGTCAAATCTCGAATGGCTTCCGTGAAGACTTCTCGAAAGATTTGTCGGCCTTGCAGACAAAATGTTCGACATCAAGGAGTTGGGCTGGACCACGAATTGGTGCGAGATATATGTGTCGATTGGGCCGGCAAAGACGAATTCTTCATCTTCCAGTGATGCCGGTGTAATCGCTCAGTATGCTCTGCATATCTGGGATAGCCAAGAAGAATCGTATTCGAATCGAAGTCAAAAGCACTCACAAGCACATCTAAAATCGACGACTTTTCGTCAATGTTGGACCTGTCATTCTCATCTGAGTCCTCAACCCCGCTCTAACCACGCATCATCTCGCCTCAACGACCAGTAAAGAAATTGCTCCAATTGCATTCAGGAACTTGCCTCGTTATTATCGACCATCACTTACTACAAATTTACGACGCTAAGTATACCCGCAATGAGGAAATCAAGTCGAAAAATACAAAGCCTGGGTCTTGGCTTGTGGGGGACTGTTGCTCTAATGGGACAAACAACTTGAGGGAGAACAGGCGGCTGAGATGTGGAGCAAGAGGGGGAACAGGTCTCTGAAGACCATGCTGGGGCCGATATATTCGTGGGGTTTTCAACTTTGGAATGTTTGTGGGCACCAAGACCGATGT